TCTTAACCAGACGCGATAAATCGATCCCAGAACATCGATTGCCTGCCGCCGGACCCTCCGGTAAGGGAAGACGTACCCTTAAACAGCAACACAGACCAAACACCTACTCCCTCATCAGACTATACCCTTACCTCCTCTTACATATACACCTCTACCCCGATATAATGCGGTCTGATATAACATGAATTTGGATATAACACAGTAAAGCAGCGCTCCGGGGGGGCGGTGCTGCACACTCCGGCAGATCAAAGCAAGTTCAATATAACGCAGTTTTACCTATAACGCAGTAAGATTTTTTGGCTCCCGAGGACAGCGTTATATCGGGGTAGAGGTGTACATCCTTTTTTCTCCCTAGAACTAATTCTCCTTTTCCTTCTCCTCTGGCTTAAGCACAGATCTGGCAGGCAGAGAAAGATCAACTGACACCATCCATACCCAACAATGTTACATGTTATCCCTGCGTATTCTCTGTGAAAATAAAACACAGGCCCATACAGCACACAAAGACAGTTAAAGGAAGTCTCTCTTATTTTTTCACATGGAAATTTTAAAAGCAACATTAAAGGTAGATAATCAGATTTGTCATTCACTCTTCTGGTGACAAGGAACTAATCAAAGTTCCAAAGAAGGATCTTACAAGGACAGCAGGTTCACTAGATGTTCTGTTGCTTGGAAGTCAAACCCAGACCACCCCCTCTCCCACCCAGATGCCACATTAAGTTCAGGAATCCCTTTTAATTAGGGGCCACAGCTCTCAAAACCATCACCAAAACACAAGTGGCAGAGATTCCGAGGTCAACAATCAAAACCTGATCACAGATCCTACAGAGCAACCCACTAGGCTTCGCTATGCCAGGTAAACTATGGATTACAGCCAACCGCATCACAGCCTCCAAGGCGCTGCAATTACCTGCTTTACAAAGGAAAATGGACAGCCCAGACAGGCCACCATGGAGGAAGCATGTGAAGGGTACGGATAACGTCTGCGAATAGCCCCCCTCCCTTCCCCAGAGTGGGGATGTTTCCCATGTTAAAGGGATCTAGGGGTTATAGTGGACCACAAACTAAATATGAGTCAACAGTGTGATGCTGTTGCAAAAAAAGCAAACATGATTCTGGGATGTATTAACAGGTGTGTTGTGAGCAAGACACGAGAAGTCATTCTTCCGCTCTACTCTGCTCTGGTTAGGCCTCAGCTGGAGTATTGTGCCCAGTTCCGGGCACCGCATTTCAAAAAAGATGTGGAGAAATTGGAAAGGGTTCA